CTTCTTATAGATTTGAAAATCAAGGCTTGGAGACATTAAATAGTTTGCCAAGACTTCCACAGGTTACTAAATCAAGATTTGGATTTCCTTGAGAAGACATGTTTGCTAACTTTCCAAAGACAGGCATATACTTTACTCCTGCGCCAAGAGAAAGTGACTATTTTGGTATGAGAGAAAACCAAGGGTTTATGTTTTGAGAAACTATTTCAGACCGAAAATAAAGAAACTTATCAGCAATAATTTGGTATATTGGAACAAGACAATAAAATCGAAAGCTAAACCACATGTTATACCACCCTTCAGTCTATTAAGGAAATAAAAATAAAATCAACTCAAGGTGCTATAGTATACCTATAAAACTAGCAAAGATTTTTTTATTTAATTCTATGCTTTCACTACATGAGATCTGTCTAGAGAATCCGATACTTTTATACAGTAACAACACTATAAGAATTGTCTGGAAAAGTTTCATATCATGTGGGTTTACACCCCAACAGTCATAAACTTGGTTTATGACCTTGTGTAAGGGAATTTGTTTCTCTAGGTTCCTATTTCTTCCTCTGTAAAATGTGAGTCGTTCTTAGGCCAAATCAAACTGAAAAACTACTTAGTAAACAATAGGAGTTCTATAAATTCATAAGGTATAAAAGAGATATCAGAGAAAACGATGATACAAGAGGTTTATAGTTTGGGGCCGTGCCACTGACAACTACCCCAACTGAAAACAGAAAATTAAGGCAAAAGAGAAAGAAAGAAAAAGATAATGGAGAAGAAAGCAGGCTCGGGAAAGCTGGGAAACATCACTCTCAGTCTCGTTCGGTTCAGTGTAAATCTTCAGGGTGTGTGAAAAACAAATGGTCTATAGTGCTATGAAATTTGGAGCCTGAATATAAGTGAAATACAAGGTATGAGGCTAGGTACATAGACTAGGAATTACTAAGGTAGTACTTGGCTTACCCCAGGTAAACAGATGTAACTCATGATGGAAGAAAATACAGAAAGAGAAGGGAAAAGACACGCAAGGACTCAAAGTTGGACACTACTTGTAGCAATGAACAACTTCACACTTGATTTAATACGATTTTGCATTGCTTAGTATCTGCCTCCTCCACATTGTTGTTGTCAAACAAATCATGACTTATTTAATGGCGGCTGGGCATCAAACGTTCGATAATGGATCCCTTATTACCCACTTTAGTTCTCATAATCTATGAAGCTAGTATTATCCCTATCTTGGAGATAAGGAAATTTAAGATAGGTTTTTAAATCTGCCTAAGACTGCAAGAATGGCTTTTTATGCACTTTCCTGAGTGTGATTTGTTTTTCATGCTGCCCCTCAACCGGCAAGTGGTAGTGGGGGCTTTAAAGTTGTCTTTTTTTGGCAGGGTCTCACTATGTAGCCCTGGTTGTTCTGGAACTACCTATACACACAGGCTAGCCTTGAATTTACGAAGACCTGTCTCTTCCTCTTCAGTTCTTGAGATTAAAGGTGTGTGCCACCAGGCCTGATCAGGACGTGTTTTCGCCCCCTGGCCTGACACGTTTTTAAAGTCACAGAATTATCTCTTAGAATCGGTGTTAGTACAACTTAGGTCCAAACTTATTTCTTAAAAGAAAAAAAAAAACACGACATATTTACAGCTTTTTCAATCGTATTTTGGGATTGCTACTATGTTAAATAGATATAGGACCCCAAGAAGAGAGCCAGACTTGGCACTGCCGCTGAGCAAAATGAGATGAGCGCGCTAAAAATCTGAGGGAGGCAACTGTTGAATTGGAGGCAAAGGTTCTCTCTCTTCTGGGCTCTCCTTCCTTCAAGGCGCACGCACCCTTGCTCCTTGGAGTCCTTCTTTTACCTCAGGGACTCTCAAATGGAACTTTCTCCTGACGGAAACCCCTTAGTCTCCCCAAAGGGTCCTTTCCTCACCGAACCCCGCTTCTCCTCGCAGAACCCGCATCTCCTTGTGAAAACACCCTTCTCACAAAACTGCCAGAGAGTCCCCCAACTTCTAGGAACCCTCACTTCCCAGACCCTCTTCTTCTTCTCCTGGAACACCATCTCTTCGAATCCCTTTTCCATCTCTCTCTCTCAGTAAGCCTCCGTCTGCTCCGTACGGGAGCGCGGGGTAAGTGCCCCTCGGAGCCCCGCTGCTCTGCTCACTGAAGCCCCCAAGAGTCGCCCGGGCCCAACCTCACCCCGCGGCTCCTCCACGGAACGCCGGTGCAGCTCGCGGTAGCGCTGCAGAGAGGAGACGTGCGCCGAACGTCTGACCTCCGGCGGCGGGGACCAACCCCGCACCCGGCCTTCAGCGCCGGTCTCCTCCCGAGCCCGGATCCCGCTACCGCTCTTGCGCCGCTCCTCGGGCAGCCCCATCGCGCCAAGCTCGGCGCACCTTGGCCACCGTTGCGGTCGCTGCGGGTGCCGGGGCGGGGAAAAACAGGTCGACCCTGGAGGCGGGGCCTCGGGCGGGGGCGGAGCCTGAGGCTGGAGGCCGCTCTTTAAGCATCCAATAGTGGGTAGGGCCGTGCGTGAAAAGGGGCGGGGTCAACAGAAACCGCTCGGGAAAAGTCGGGGTAGAGGCGGAGCTGACTTGCCGGAAGGGGTGTGACCATAGGGTGAAAGTCGAAGGAATGGTCTGGGAATGACAGGAGAGGGGTGGAGCTTTAGAATGACAGAGGAGGGGCGGGGCCAGAAGTGACAGGCGAGGAGGCGGGTCGTGGAGTGATGGGGTGTAGCCCGGCTGGAAGTGACAGGAGAGGAGGCAGGGCTGTGGAGTGACCAACATAGGGTCTTGGAGTGACAGGTGGGGGTTGGGTTAGGACACCGCGCAGCTTGAGACGGAAACGGCTGGCTAATGAGAGGCGTTGGGTCATCCGTTGTGCACTCAACCGTGGTCTGATTGCACAATTCTGTCACTCCACCGAGTTGGATAACCAGGTGGAGCACAGTTCCTTCTGGGTAACACTCTTCCAAGTCTGCTGCCGAGCAACACCTCTATTCCGTTCTCATGGAAAAATTCCTCCACGATCGTGAGGGCATAGTTCCCGGATATGGCCCTTCCTGCCAACTTGGGTCATTCTGATTCTCTCCCGCCTCTGAGGACATGTTGTCATTTTTTTTTGTCTCCATAAATCCTCCACCCTGATCTAAAGCACAAGACTCTAAAGAAGACAAGGAGGATCCTTCAGATCTTTGCCAAAAAGTACAAGTTGTCTTTGCACAAAAGGTAAATTCAGGAAAGGAAAGGAGCCACGCATGTTTTTGCACGTATGAGGCAGAGGCAGGAGGGATCTCTGAGTTGGAGGTCAGCCTGATCTACAGAGTTCCAGGGCAGCCAGGGCTACACAGAGAAACCCTGTAGAAAAACCACAAAACGAAAGAAAGGAAGGAAGGAAGGAAGGAAGGAAGGAAGGAAGGAAGGAAGGAAAAAAGAAAGAGTGGGGGAAGGAGAAAGAGAGGGAGGGAGGAACAAAGAAAGAGTGGGGGAAGGAGAAAGAGAGGGAGGGAGGAACAAAGAAAGAAAGAGAGAAAGAAAGCAAGAAAAGGAGGAAGGGAGGAAGAAGGGAAAAGAAAACTGGGGAAGGGAATTTCACAAAGCAAACAGAAGCTAGATCTTGAAAACGCCAAATGCAAAATAAAATAATAAAAATATAAAGAGGAATCATTTGCATTCTTTAAGTCACCTAAGTATACTCTCATCTGCCACAAATTGAGTTTACTTATCTCTGGCTTCCCTCTATCCTCTTAACCCAGTAGGACACCCTCTATCTCCTACCTAAAGTTATCACCAAGAAGGGGCCACCTCATCTAACAGTTCACACAGACTTGCTGTCAAGATCAGGATCTTTAAATATCTCACTACACCAGTGAATCTGAGGCAGCTCCTGCCTTTTGATCCATATTTGGAGCTTGTGACCCACCTACCCACCTGCTACCTCGATCTTTGTCCAACTGATCATAAGTGTAACACACCCTAAGTCAGAAAAAGATCTCCTCATGCTCAGTTATGATCGAGCGTCTACCCGATCCTGAGGGGAGAATCTTGGGGCCCACTAAGTTCATACAGACCTTGTAGAATAGACATAGATCTCAAAGAGGAAGCAGATAGCTTCATCAAAAAGACATCAGCTCCTCTGAATAGATACATACTTAATTGAAATTGCACAAACTGTGTTAGGAGGCATAGTTTTTTTTCTGGCGGTCTCAAATCCCATGGAAGAGATCTGCCCCTGATTACAGGACATGGATGGCATTAATGTGATTGGAAACACAGATTTCCCTCTAGGAGACACAGACTTCACTAACCTTGATGAGAGGGCTCATTCCTCACTGAAGGAGCAGACAACACTTAGTGGGGACAAACTCACTCATGGGAGTAGATCACGGAAACTATGCTCCCTACAGATCTCACTAATAAGATAAGAACCTCCCCGTAGGGAAGATGGCACATATAATTTTGCCTATAAGCCTGAAGAGCATCATCATCATCTCTTACTCTCACCTCCAGGGCTCAGCTCTAACCTGCACTCCTTCCTAAGCCTTTCTCCTGCAGCCGTTCGCTATCTACTGCTGCCTCCTGCTGTCTACAAGTGGCACTGCGGCTCCTGGTGTCCGTAGTAAATACTATAACAGTTCAAGTCACATTGAGCCTGGAGCTAGGGATTGGGAAAGAAAGGATTATTGTGTATCCACGGCTTCACGAGCCCTATCTCTCTGCCTGTGGGCTGAACAGCAGACGTTTGGACTCGTAGCGTTCATTCTTGAAGCTAGGGTAGCCGTTGCAAGATGGGCTTGGCAGGCACCTTGAGTGCAGGTATGTGTTCTCATTCTTAACATTCCCTTTCTTTTTTCTTTCTTCTCTTCCCTTTCTTTTTTTCCTCCTGATGCTGGAGGTCAAACCTTCACACGGGCGAGCATTCTACCAGAGAGCTACTTCCTAAACCCTGATCGTACACCTTTATCCTTCCCATCCACCGTTCTGCTCTGCCACACCGTCAGGACTTCTATTACCTTAGTTCCAGAACCACATCAAGAGCTCTTAAAACGAAGAAGACCGTTAAGGTTCCAAAGATCGTGTTCTGGTCTACTGAATTCGTTTCCTGGAGTGGAACCCGAGGGTTTGCTTCTAAAGATCCTAAAGTTGGGGTAAGGGACTGTCTTCCATGCTGACACATCAGGGTGGTTCCAGGAGTTTGGGTTTAAAAGAGAAATGTGGGAAATGTCAGGATGCAGAAAAGGATGTGAGGTTGAAAGAGGGGCTCAAGAGAGGTCTGCAGATGAAAAAGCAGTCGGGATGGAGCAGGGGTTGGCGCTTTGAAAGGACTCTAGGAGGTAAGGTGAAGTCAAAGTCGTAAATCTGGGGTGAGTAGTCTGAGCTGGGTGGGAGCGCTAGCCTGAGATCAGAGGAAGAGAATCTTGGTGCCCACAGAGAGGTCTGGGTCCAAGAAAGAGAGTGGATCAGAAAAAAAAAGATCTGGAGTCAATGTGGAGTTTGCGATCAGAAGTCAGTCTGTGGTCCTAGGAGCGTATGGGATCTGAGCGGGACTCAGACTGGAAGAAGGAAAGACCAGGGATTGCTTGGGGAGCCCAGAGTAGCATCCTCTTCCCGGCAACCTTCCACTGCCCTCCGGGCTCCCATCCTCCTGCACCAGCGCGCAGCCTGCTAGCAGGAGACTTTAAGCAGGCGGGGGCGAGTCAGACCAGGACACTGCTGAGGGTGGGGGCGCCCCCTCCCGGCTGTCCAGGAGCTCAGACCCCGCCCTCCGCCCTCGCACACCCCCCCTTCCACTGCCACTTCCGGCAGGCGCTGCGCTGCTGGGGGTTAGGGCGAGGATGGCGGCAGAGAACGAGGCTAGCCAGGAGAGTGCCCTAGGCGCCTACTCACCGGTGGACTACATGAGCATCACCAGCTTCCCGCGGCTGCCCGAGGACGAGCCAGCGCCTGCGGCCCCACTGAGGGGCCGCAAGGACGAGGACGCCTTCCTGGGAGACCCGGATACCGGTGAGGCCCTCTGGCCCTATCCCTACCCCGCCTTGGTGGTGATGTTGGGGGTCCTCGGTCCTCCTTCTTCTATTCTGGGCATCCACTTTCAGTCTCCCATCTCCTTCATTCATCCTTTCATCCTGGACCTCTTCCCTTCTCCCTCAGCTCTGTTAACTGTGTGGTGGGGAAAAGGGTGTTTTTTGCCTTAGAGGCGTAGGATGCGACACGGGAGAGGGATGCAAGGACCGCAGTAGGAGGGATTATGATTGCCTGCTAGAAAGAATCTATTGAGAAGGAAGGAATGCTGGAGGGGAGAGCCTAAAGAACGTCTGTGATCACTTAGTAAAGGCTTCTCTTTAATCACAGAAGCCAGGATAGAAGAAACCAAGTCAGAGGTTGAACAGGAGGGATGGATGGGGTCTAGATCTTTGGGCGAACTTCACCACAGCCAGGGATTATGAGGAAACAGAGAGTCTGGAGAAGAGCTGAGACTCTATCTCTTCATGTCCAGAGATGAGTAAAGAAAATGTGATTTCCTTCTGTCTGAGAATTCTGGGTATTGGGAGACAGGGGGATGGACTGCATGACCTCTCAAAGCCCTTGGGGACTACAGCGCCTTAGCTGTTTTGTGGCTCACTCTACCCTTTCCAGAGATGTGGGTCTGGCCTGGATGTTAGCCGGGTTAGTAGGAGCTTCTGGTCAGCAGCAAGGATTTGTTCCCTGCAAAGCAGTCTCCAAATTTTACTGTGTTCTCAACCCTCTGCAGAAACTGAAGGCGATGGGGGTGGAGGGAGGAAGCAGGGTTTGAGAGAGAGCTGAGGGCCAAGAGCTCTCACTGTTCCTTCCCCAGTGTTGTCTCTCCTATCCATGTGGCTCAGCTCTGTCCTCCCCTCCATTCTTTATCCTGCACCCCTCTGACCTCTTTCCCTCAACGTCACTTCCTGGCATTAGAGCATCCTTCTGCCTCCCTCTCTGTCTCCCTCCGGGTGCCTGCTCTTGAGCTTCATCCCTTTCTGTACTGGAAGATGCTGCTTCTCTGACCCAGCTCTTTGGAGTCTGACTCTTCTGCTGTCGCTCCTGGCCCAGCAGCTGGCAGTTCTCTCCCATTTTTTGGTCATATGGTTCTGACCAGCAGGTTCCACCAACCTGACTAGATCACACTTTTTACCTGTGATGGGGTGTGCTGACTTTAGGTCCTCCAATATCAAACATGCACATTAAAACTAATTTTCTTGGGGGATTAGTTTTGGTGGTAGAAGTAAGAATGTGCTGGTGGAACCAGCCATCTGGTCAACCCAGGTTTTCTATTCAGAGATTTGAATAGTGCAGTCCTGATTCACTATATTATAGTAGGTGTGCCTACCCTGTACTGGGCCTTAGTTTTCTCTTTCAACAAAGAATGCCTATCTGTCCTAAATAACAGATTGGATCCTCTGATCTGTTGTTTCCAGATTCCTTGTTAAAGTCATTGCTTTATAAAAGCCTACGGTTATTTGTGTGGGCAGTGAGGTGATTTCTGCATGCCTGTAAGTCCTCTAAGGGCAGGAATCATGGCTTTTTTTTTTTATTCATTATCCTTTCTTTAGCGTTCAGCAAAGTGTTGGGTACTCAATAAATAATTGTTGAATGAAGAGATGAAAGAAACAACCCCGGGATGAAATAATGACAGGAAATGGAGTTCCCAAACCTCAAGAATGCCTTAGGGGAGTTCAGTATAGGCTGTGTCCTGGTGTGCATGGCAATTCAACCGAGAGGGGTTGGGAGTATAACTCAGTGGTACAACACTTGTCTAGAAATTCAGCCTAGACCCTGGTTACCTGAGCTCCTGGAAACTTAAACCTTATCCCATGGGTGTACACCAAGGTTCCCAGGGCCTTGCCTTAGAGTCCATTGCCATCATAACAATATAAGCATTTAGATGCCATGTCACTTAGGCCTGTTTCCAAGTCCCAAGAATCCTTTGGTCCAGCCAGACCAGCTTGTTGGCTAATATGACCTTCTATAGTCTCAATCTACTAGTGCCACCTAGTGGTAGTCTTGTCTTTTAGCCAAAACCTGAGTTAGTGCCTATAGCCTGGCACTCTCCAACATCAAGAGCCAGAGAAAAGAGAGCTAGACAGTGACCACCTCCAGGTTAGGAAATGCCTGTGTGCCCTTTCTTTCACATGGAAGCCACATGGGCCTTTTTCTCCTAGGCATTAGCCTCATGTGTCTTGTGGATACGCAACCTTGAACACTCTATGCCAACATCAGCACGTCCTCACCACACACTTCCTTTTTGTCTCAGTGAGTGACACTCCCTGAAGGGCAGTGTCCAGAGTGGAAGCCTAGAAGCCACCTTTGGATCTGTCCCTCTTTTCTTCTCACTTTCAAAATGTGACCTGGTTTTCTATGTCCTCCCTCCCAAGAGATTCCTGAATTCCATCTGACCACGATGTCCTCAGCACTCTAGGCTAAGCTACTAATCTGTTATACCCATGTGACTCCTGAGTTCCCAGCTGTTCTTGCTGTTGCCCTCACCCCAAATCCACTCACCATTCTGCATTTCTGGTCATGTCACCCCCAAGTTCAGAAATCTCTCTTAAGAGAGTTCAGGTTCAGACTAGGCTACCTAAGGGATTCAAGTCCAGCCTAGGTTGTATTATAATCTGTTAAAATAAATAGAGGAGAAAGAAAATTAAATATTTTGACCAGCTACGTTCAAACAGCAGCTCCTTGTGCTTCACAAATTCAGGGTTATCAAAACTAAGCCCACCTTTCTCCTAAAACATACTGGGTTATTGTTTGCTTAATTGGTAGGGTTTTTTTGAGGGGAGGGTTGTTTTGTTTTGTTTGTTGGAGTTTTGAGACTGAGTTCTTACTCTGTAGCTCAGGTTAGTTTGGAACTTACTATGTAAATGGGGCTATTCTGGAACTTACTATTGTAACCCACACTGGCCCCAAATTTGTGGCAACCTGGATGCTTCAGTCTCCTGAGTTCTGGGACTGCATGTTTAAACCCCAATGCCTGTCTCTAATAAACTTCTTTCTTCTTGCCCAAACCAATCTTTCCCCAGCACGTTTTTCTTAGTAGGATTATTGCCCTACCAGATACACAGGGCACATATCATGTACTCAAGAAACCATTTTTCCTATTTTTGATATTTTTTCCCTCGGTATATAATTTTGCTGAATAGATGAGCAACTTGATATGCTGGTTGAATAATCTAAAATAGATCAAGTTGTGGTGGGGCCATATTATCTTCATCTTAAGTCATTTTATCTCATTGGAGAAAACAAATGAAAAGGCAGGTGCCTGAAAATAATAACTAAAACTAGCCGGTAAGGTTGAATTTTTGTTTATTTGTGCTTTGTTTTTGAGACAAGGCCTCATGTATCCCAGGCAAGTTTTGATCTCTGATACTTCTGCCTCTACTTCCTCATATGGGGATCACAGATGTGTGTCGCCACAGTCACCTAGTTCATTAGGTTGGCTTTGGGGGTTGGAAATAGCTGCCAGTGACACATGGGACAGTAAAAAGGAGGCACACTGTCCCCACTCTCCCACTTACTCGCGTGGTGGTCTTAGACAGGTGGTCCCCCTTAGCCTCGTGTTCTTCATCTGTAAGGTGAGCAAAGTGGAGCCGAGCTCATGAAGTCATGAAAATACTTCAATGAGGAAAGATACGCAAAAAACCTAGCATATCATCGGCACCAATAAATCCGAGTCTTGCTGAGGGGCGGGATCAACTCGATGGGTAAAGCCTTTGCTGCCCAAGTGCGGAGCTTAGCTCAGGTCTCCGGAACCCATGGAAACAGCAGAGCATGACAGGACACACTTGTATTTCCAGTGCTTCCACAGTGAGGTGGGAAATGGAGGCAGGAGCCCAGAGCCACAGGGGCCAGCTAGCCTCTGTATACAGCTGCTCACAAGAGTCTGTTTCAGGCAAAATGGAAGACCAGGACAAGTGCCCAAGGCTGTCCTCTAACTCCTACATATGCTCAAAGACACATACAAGAACATATATGTATGTGCACACACATCAGATACACATACATCACACACACATACATATACCCCATACAACAGGTAAATAAAAATTCAAAGCCCCTTCTTGACCTTCTTTGATAGTTCTGTGGGGCCAGGAGGGTTTTCTAGCCACAGAGGAAATTTAACAACTGCTTAAAGAATTATGGTTTACAACCTGCTAGTGCTGATGTTGTAGTTTAGACACGAGCACGATTAACTAAGGGAGACCCCAGGAAGACAAACTTTTTATCATTATGTATGTGGGGTTTTTGCCTGCTTATCTGTGCACGACATGCATGAAGTGCCTGAGGATGCCAAAAGAGGGCATCGGATTCCCTGGAGCTCGAGTTACAGACCCTTGTGAGTCTCCACGTGGGTGCTCTTACTGGGCCACCTCTCCAGCCTGACAGACTTTCTTAAAAAGTGAAAAGTTAAAAGCAGGGCATCAGGCACACATGTGGTACACAGATATACATGCAGACAGAACATAAAATTACAATAAAATAAAATAAGTTAAAAGCAAATTAAAATATTTGTTTATTATAAAAAAAATAAAATAGTGAGGAAAATAAAAGTCCTTGTCTCTATTCTTCTTTTTTTTTTTTTTTTTCGAGACAGGGTTTCTCTGAGTAACTCTGGTTATCCCAGAATTCTATCTGTAGACCAGGCTGGCCTCGAACTCACAGAGATCCACCTGCCTCTGCCTCCCAAGTGCTGGGATTAAAGGTGTGTGCCACCATGCCTGGCCTATTCTTTTTTTTTTAAATGACTTTATTTTTATCTTTAATTTTGTGTACATGTGGGCATCTGTATGTGAGTATAGTGCCCACAGAAGCCAGAGGTGTCGGTGCCCTGGAGTTGCAGTTATGGGCAATTATGAATCACCTAGCATAGGTGCTGGGAACTGAACCCCAGTTTCAGTAAGAATAGCATACGCTGGCAGCCACGGAGCCAGTTATCTAGGCCCACCCTCCAGTTCTTTTTGTTGTTTTTGGAGACAGGGTCTTTCTATTAAAAAGCTCTGGCTGTCTCAAAACTCATCATGTAGATCAAGCTGGCCTCCAACTCACAGGTCCATTGGCCTCTGCTTCCTGAGTGCTAGGATTAAAGGTGTGTAACACTACACCCACATCCCTCCAATTCTTCTTCTTCTTCTTTAAGACAATCTTTCTCTGTTTAACAGCCCTGGCGGTCCTAGAACTCCCTCTGTAGACCAGGCTGGCCTCAAATTTACCGAGATCCACTACTCACAGAGATCCACCTGCCTCTGCTTCTTGAGTTTTGGGATTAAAGGTGTGTACCACCACTGCTTGGCCTACCCTCCATTTCTTATCTCTGTGTAATTTTTACTTTTTATATCTATCTATCTATCTATCTATCTATCTATCTATCTATCTATCTATGCTTAAATTTTGAAGTATAAATGCTGAAAAGATAGCTCAGTCAGAAGCCACATGATAAAGCTGGGTGTGGTGTCGATGAGAAGGCTCAGGGGTAAAGGACCTTGATGGCAAGCTTGACATCGTGAATTCAATACCAGGATCCATGTGGTAGAAGGAAAGAACCAACTCCAACAAGTTAAGTTGTCCTTTGAGCTCCACATGTGGACATGTACACGCACACACACGTGCACACACAATGACTATATAAGTAAGTAAGTGAGTAAATCAATGTAATGAAATATTTCTTTGTTTTTTCGAGACAGGGTTTCTCTGAGTAGCTCTGGCTGTCCTGGAATTCACTATGTAGACCAGGCTGGCCTCAAACTCACAGAGATCTACCTGCCTCTGCCTCCTGAGTGCTGGGATTAAAAGCATGTGCCACTACTGCCTGCTAAATGTAATAAAAGTAAAAAAAAAAAAAAAAGCCAGACATGGTGACCTGCAAGTAGAAGCCCAGTGCTAGGAAGGAAGGTACAGAAGGGACCCTGGGTTTATAGTCAGCCAGACTAGCCTAATTGGAAAGCTCTAGACCAGTGAGACATCTTGTCTCAAAAGGAGACGAACAATGTTTCTAATGACACCTGAGGTTGGCCTCTGACTTCCACACATGCTTACATGCATGTACATTCTCACACATGTGCATGCGCACAGAAAGAAAAATGGTTCAGTGGGTAAAGGCACTTGTCATGCAAGCCTGGTGACTAGAATTTGATTCTCCAAACCCAGAAAGAACCAGATGTGGTGGTGTGCAGCTCTAAACCCAAAACGTCTCCAGTAAGATAGGAGGCAGAGACAGGAGAATTATCTGGAAGCTTGCTGGCCTTCTAGCTTGGGGTGAGAAAAGCATCAGAAACAAGAAGAGAGTCCTTCTGAAAGGAGAGACACAAACCTAGAGAAGCTGTCCTCTGACTGTCACACCTGCTGTGGCACGCACATTCCTTTCTGCCCTTTGTCTAGTTCGTCTGTGCCTCTGTCTTTGTCTCCAATTCTCTGTCTCTGTGTTACTCACTCTTTCACACACACACACACACTAATAATAATAACAATAGAATTTTAAATATTTTTTAGGAATTTAAGTCAGACATGGTGGCTCGCATCTGTACTCACAGTACTCAGGAAGGAAAGACAGGCAGATTGCCTCAGCCTGGGCTACTTAAAAAGTTCAAAGTCAGGTAGGGCTACCTGTCTCTCTCTCTCTCTCTCTCTCTCTCTCTCTCTCTCTCTCTCTCTCTCTCTCACACACACACACACACACACACACACA